TTCAGGTTGTTTATTTATTTGATGTATGAAAACACGGGAGCCGTGGACGACTGAATTGCCAAGAAGCTAGTATAAATTCAAAGAAACAAAAGATATCACACCGAAACGGGAAAAAGTTTCCTCTGAATGGAGGTTGTTTTCGAAAATGAATTTTACTACTTATCATTCTTCATGTTATCAAATAGAAACCAGAACTAGCAAGAACTCAGATGAGTTGCGAGCATGCATTGAGAAAGCTTATGTGGTTGTAACTTACAGTGTGTAAATATGTCGATAATTTGAGTTTCCAAAAAGAAACACTCAACAAATTCTTTCTCCCCGTAATCTTGACATGAAGCGGTGTCAGATCCTGCAGCAAAATATTGCAATGATGGCTGAAACGCAGACATATTCTTCCGAGTGCTCAAGAAACGTAGAAAGAATCTTCTCTAGGCCAATGTATGAAAAACCATGGTAACGGTTGATTGACGTCCACCAAAACGCAGGTTTGAACCGAAGAAAAAACCCTTTGAGGGCACGTCTTAATGGTAACCGCTGTAATGAGGAGAATATTATTTGCAGCCAAACACCAAAGCCAAACACAGTTGGACGATGTTGCGAATGAGCAGACCATTATTTGTAGGCAGTTATTTGCAGGTCACGTGGTGGGCTCTTAGCTAATGAAAAGAAAGAAAAATTTGCATCAAATGATAATGATAATGGCATAGTCAATTCCAAGCATGCCCATCCCCTCTGGGCATTTTTCAGGAACTTGTCATCTTGTGGGTCCTGGCAGTGGGGAATTTGTCAGAAAACCTCTGCTTGAGGCTGGGGCATTAAATTTGTCAATTAATTTTTGTGGCAGTGATTGACATTGCTCCTTTTTCAATATTATCACTTAAAATATGCCTATTTAGATAGCTATGTATCTATAGATACATTAAAGAGTATTTTTAATATGATTATATGCTTTAAAAGATACGTGTGGTTTTTCTCCATCCCTCACCATCCTACCTGACAGTATTTTCTGCATCCATGTAAGAAATTGCTTCCTGCCATTAAGATCTGTTTGCCCAAATTATAAGGATAAACAATCAATACATCATTATTTTGAAGAATTTAAAGGAAAAGATATTTTTGAAAAAAAAACTCTGTGAGATAATAGAAAGCTAATATAAACTTTGACAGAACCATTCCATCATGATGAGAAAATGTTAAGGTAGTCAGTTGTTTGTTTATCATTCACTTTTTTAAATACCTTTGGAAATGTGTTATTAAATCTAGTTAATATAGTTCTGTCATTAATGTTAATTAGAACAATGTGATCTGGGCATGCTTGGAACTGACTGAGCCATAAAAAAATAGTAGCTGATACATGCATTACTTATTCAGTGTTTCAATGCAGCTAGAACTTATAGGTAGTTGGCCCATACAGTGATGTGTTAAATAATTGGCATCTTTCCTTGTGGATGAGATAATGCTTTCAATAATTCTTCTTTATTTTTGACATTATTATTGAATATTTTTTATGTAGGTTGAAAACCAAATGAAAATTGAGCCTAACAAATAATCATCCAGTCGATGTTAATAATGTGATGCTTCAGTTGTACATAATGAGGCCCTATTAGGGGTGAGGTGGGGGGATGGGGTATGTCTGTCCCTGGCCAGAATTTCAAATAGGGTTGTTTCATGTTTTGAGGAGTAGGCCATGTCGCTGTTGTTACACCGCATTTAAGTGATCTTAAATTATGTCGTTTGTTGCCATTTCATCAATAAAGTCTTATGTCACTGGTTCAAGGCCATGTCGCTTTTCAGAGTTTTGCCCTAGCAAGGCCTCATACATGTGTTATAGAGAACTAAGGTTTATACTTGCATTTCCAGTACTTATTTTGTTGTGACCTAGTTCTTTTAATCACCAATGAGCACAATGTTCTCATCGTATATTAGAAACAACACAGTTATTGTTATTATGTTATAAGATTGCTAATACACTGAGGTGGTGGTAGTAATGTAATGTCAGCAATGTTTTAGTGGCAGTTGTAGCTGTTATACTGAGAAGGGTCTGTAACAGCTACATGTAGGCTCAATTGGTAAATGAGGGAGGGTGAGAGGGTAATATTATTATTGGTAACCAGGAGGGAGGGAGGAGTGGCAGTGGCATTGTAGTTTAAGGGAGGGTTAGTGATACTTGCACTCTGGTGGTAAATGAAGGGGGGGGAGAAGGGTTGTGGGAGTGAAAGTGGTAGTTGGGGGGGTGGAGGAGGGGGAGTTGTAGGGCATGGGAGAGGGGAGAAGTAGTGAAATCATGGAGATGACTCACAGGACTCCCCAGAGGAAGTGGGGGGCGGGGGGTGGGAAATAGGACTTCAGGGCAAGTAAATAAACTTCATATTTTGCCCAGGTTTCTGTTTATGGTATCATAATTTTCATTTTGTTTTGTGTGCTATCTTGGCATCATGGGAAGATGTTCTTTTTTCACTACATTATTTTTCCTTTTGTAAGCATTATTTAATGAAATATAATAGGTTCTGCAATTTGCAATGAGTCATGCTACAGCCTGTGGCTAAACTTGTCTCAGGGAAATGACAAGTGCATAATATATCCCCACCAAAATTTGACTTAAGCTTCTTAAATTCTAATTAACATTTTTAATTCCTTTTTTAGTGTGCACATCATTGGTGCTTGAAGAACTGTCCACCAAGTTTTAAACTTTTGACAGGATTTACTTCTCAGGTACCCTTGACTGTTATACTGTCAATGACCCCTTTACTGTTTTGTATTTTAACTTGGATCTGAAGATTTTGTCAGAATTACAATGTTTTTTACTAAGATATTTTTTCTCCCCAATTGAGCTTTCAAGCAAACCGGGAGCGGAGCTTGTCATTTAGTCATTTTGTTGCAAACTCGTGAAGGATGAAGATGAAAGACCAAATATATTAATAACACATATAAATTTGCATGATGATGAAAATGTGCACTGTAATATAGGCCTTATGATTCAAAACTACCATAATTTATAGTCATAATACAATCCCAAAATTTTGCATAAGCAGTGTCTTTCAAATTTCTCTTGGACTTACAATCTTCCTTATACAAAATGCATGCTTATGTAAAGTTTTTGAGGGAAAACAAAGAGTATTGTTTGTTTGTTTGTTTCTTTACCTTTGGAAAAAGGCCTATTATGCAAAAGCCGTTCAATCTAAAATGTTTATGTTATGAGACCTTCTGAATATCTTAATAACCTTGGTGTCAAGGTACACAACTAGTCAGTTCTTTCAAAATACCTTAAAAATGCGAAAAAGATTACTGCAATTTTCTACACAGATTTAAAAGGTGGTGGATATTTCCTTCTCTGGCTTCTATGGCAACTGCAGCACCGTCACCCCTGGCCAGCTCTGTTGAGAAGACAAATGGAAACAAGCTAAGTAGGCTTCTCATCGATGGCGGAACAACAGTGCTGAGGAATATTTTCGATTCCCATCACCCTCCTGCCAACTTGGCTGCTAATCTTAGTTCCAAACGTATCCATTCCATTCTTACTAAACTTCGGCATAGAAACATTCTGAATGGTAGTCAATGGTACAAACTGTTTCCACCACCAGGTGGAGGGACACCAAACTCTGTTAACTTTGATATCACTCTACTGTTCCTCTTGCTGAGGAACATTTGCGGGCTATCCCCTCCCCTTTCAGGCTGGGACAGAATGCCCCCCGCGAGTGACACCACTTTTGAGGCTAACCTTGCTCGCATCAAGTACTACCGAAACGAGCTGTATGGTCACGTGACCACAACTGGCATTAAAACATCAGTGTTCGATGTGCAATGGCAGGAAGTAAGTTCTGCTCTTGTTTCGCTTGGTTTAAGTCAGTCTGAAGTGGACAGATTAAAGCGAGAGCCTTGTGGAGAGGACTATGTCAGCGCTGTTACTGAATGGATGAGGAATGACGAGGAGATCAAATTCCAACTAAAAGACGTGCTTTGCAAACAACAGCAAGTTCTCCAAACCCAACAGGAAGATCAGAGAACTCTTAACGACACCCACATAATTGTTGGAAAAGTGCAACAGATGCAAGCAGAAGCCAGCAAATTGCAACAAGAGGACCACAAAACTCTTCAAGATACAAATCAAACATTGAGTCAAGTACAACAGACTCAATTGGAAGCTATCAAATTGCAACAAGAGGACCACAGAACTCTTCAAGATACAAACCAAACAGTTCGCAAAGTAGAGCAGACTCAATTAGTGGCCAGCAAATTGCAGCAAGAGGGCCACAGAACTCTTCAAGATACACACCAAACGGTTAGCAAAGTGGAACAGACGCTTCAAGATACACACCAGGCAGTTGGCAATTTACAACAGACGCAAAACGAGGCAGTGAAATTGCAACAAGACGATCACAGAATTCTTCAGGACACGCGCCAAGCAGTTGAAGGTCTGCAGCAGTCTATACAGATGTTACAGGAAGTTCGGAAAACCCAACAAGAATCGCAGCAGCAGATAGAGTTTAAGGCTGCAAACACTCAAGAAAGAAGCGATAAAGCTGAAGAGGATGAAGGTCTGAGAAAATTAGCAAAAGTTAATACCGAGAGAGTTATCCAGTATCACTCTAGGAAGTACCAGGAGGGAACGCGCTTGCACATCTTTGAGAAGATCAAGTTGTGGCTAGACGACCGTACTTCTGAAAATCGTGTTATGGTAATCAGTGGAGATGCGGGAATGGGCAAATCAGTGATTTCCGCTGTCGTTTGTCAGGAAATGCGAAATGCTGGCCGACTGTCGGGAAGTCACTTTTGCCAGCACAACAAGGCACGTCACAGAAACCCTAAGATAATGCTTCAATCGTTAGCTTATCAGCTGAGTGAGTTTTTGCCTTCGTATAAAAGAGAACTTGTAAAAGCACTGTCAGGAAACTTGGGTGAAGACATAAACAACCTAGAGGTTGAAGAGCTGTTTGACTTGCTGTTCGAAGAGCCTTTAGGAAATGTAGGTGATCCCGGAGAATGCTTTCTCATGGTGATTGATGGCCTGGATGAATGTGACTACAAACGCCGCAATGAAATGCTTGAGGTCATTGGTAATCACTTTTCTGCTCTTCCTGTCTGGTTTCGCTCGCTTTTGTGTTACAAGTCGACCGGAAATAATAATTGCAAAGCATCTTCAAAAGCTTAATCCTCTTCATCTACAGCAAAATAATGAAGAAAACGTTAACGACATCAGGATCTTTTTTGAAACACAGTTGGGCAACATCATTCAGTCAGGCTGTGAAGAAGTTGTTATCGATGCACTGGTCCGAGAGGCTGCAGGGCATTTTTTATATGCTTATTTGATAGTCGATTCTATCAAGGAAAACGTTTCACGTCTTACTCCTGAGGAGTTAGGAAGAACCTTAACTTCGGGTGTATCGTCTGTTTATCAGTCCTATTTTGAGCGTCTGGAAAAAGAATTGACAATCGGTGAAGAATTTTTTTTGACTTTTCTAAGTGCTCTTGCAGTAGCAAAAGAACCGCTTCCTCTAGACTTCGTTTCTAAGATGTTGCTTTCGGACATAAAGTCTCCAGCTGGTCACCGAAAAGTTAGAAAGGCTATCGAATGTATCTCAACCCTTTTACCTATTCAAGATGGCTGCATTCACTTCTTTCACAAATCAGTTAAGGACTGGTTGACTGATGGAGCTCCCGACATGTACGGCGTGCAACACAAATTTTATGTGAACGAAGACCAGGGCCACCTTGCTCTTTCTCAGCTGTGTGTTGATGAACTTGATGATGTCAAAAGAAAAAGTGTTAACGGCACAGATTTCAGTGAGGCTGTCAAGTACGCCCTTCAGTATGGTGTTGGTCATATGCTTGAGTTGGAAGAGAGCGCAAGAGCGCCCGGCAGGTTTGAAGAAATCATTAACAACTATGTCACCGACTTAGACATTGTGCATGCAAAGCTTTGTGTACGCAACACGCTTAATTCTGAAGACATTATCTATGTTCAAAAACGAGAAGCTTTTAGGACATTGAGCGATGAAAGTCAAAGGGCCCTTAGCACGTTGTTTTCTCTCTTAAGAAAGTACCATGGAAGACTTTCGACGCATCCTAGTACAATATTTCAAGTGATGGTGAATGAGGGAGGGGACGTTTTTGCTGGTGAAGCGACGAAAGTTTTACAGAATCGTGAAATACCTTACATGGAGTACCTTCATAAGGAAGCTGTGAAGAAGGAGTCGAATAAGATCCAGGCTGAGTTTCGCTGTAAGTCCAAGGTTGTTTGTTTTGATATTTCCCCTACGCAGGAGTTCATGGTAAGCGAATGTACTTATGGAAAGATTTACCTTTGGTCACTCATGACGCGTGAGCTAAGGTGGAAACGTTGTGTTGAGGTCAGGAAATGTTTTTTTGAAGATTCTAACCCCAGAAGAGTGTTGGCAAACTCACCTGTTTTAACATATTATCGCTCTGTTGTTTTTCACCCCACTGAGCCCATTGTTCTTCCTGGAATCCTTAGCCATGCGTACTCAATTGACGGAGACCTACTACCTCTGTTCCCAAAGAGCAACTGCAGATTTTCTGTTTGTTCAGTTCATGGGGACGAGAGCAAAATTATCACCGATTGCCCTGGTGATGCTAAATGCCTTGTCATGTGGAATCTAAAAAATGGCGAAGAGATCGCTCGAACCATCAGAAATGAAGTTGTTTTGTCCTTTGCTTGGTCTCCAGATGGAACGCTTCTGGCAATTTCCCATTTTTCGGGACTGGTATGTTTGGTTGACCCATTGAACTGTTTAGAGACCACTCTCGCAGAAGTCGCCACTAATCAGCCATTGGGAATGATAAAGTTTACCCCTGACATTCAATTGCTGTTTGGTTGCTCTTGGTCAATGGAAGCGGTACCATTGGTCTTCATAGATATTGTAGAATATTGGGAAAAATTAAGTTTTCGCTTACACGTCGTTAAGTTACCTTCTGGCACCTTTTCCTTTAACGTTTTAAACAATTATGCTTATGATCCTCGGAATTACGAATCATCTAGCAAAGGTGGATTCTTGATGGGAGATCCTTTTCTTTTCGATTTTTCAACTCACTCTTCTTCTCTTCAAGGGTTTGCATTTGTATTAAACAAACAAAGTGTATTAATGGCAAATTTTGGCGACAGGAAAATTACAATGCTTAACTGTGATAAACGTGAATTGGCCAACATGGTTCGTCCGGTCGATTGGCGTTTCAATAGCGTTGCCTTCGCCTTAGATGGGAAGACGATCTATGGGATCACCTCCTATCCATGGCCGGCTGAACGCGTACAACTGGTATCTTGGGATGTGTCGAGTGGAGATCGTAAAGCAGAGAAAATTGTAGCCGCACATAATATTTTACTTGTACCTGTGTCAGAAGGTGTCCTTTTGAAAGAACCTTGGGAGGATGTTCAGCTATGGAATTTTGAGTTGTCACAACAAGTCCGAAGTTGGCCTAATTTAAGCAAGATTAGCGATATAATGCCAGTTTCAGACCAATGTGTAGCGTGTGTGTGGACAGATTTTGAAGTAAGCATCCTGGACACATCAAATGGAAACATAGTGAAGACCATCTCACTTTGTCACAAGGTTTTCCAGTCAACATATCGTTCGTGGCATAGAAAAGCCGTAGTGTGTAACAGTAAATATCAGCTGCTATCTTTCAAGCCTAGCACAGTTCAGCTGTCAGACGGAGAAAATGAACTATGGAAGAAAACTCTTGAACATCCACATTTTTTTCAAGAGGACAGCTTGGGCCTACCTTGGATGTTTTCTCCAACAGAGGAGTTCATCCTTATCTCGTGTAAATTGAAACCTCTGTTAAAGACAGAAGTTCTTGTTCTTGAAGCATCTTCAGGAAAGTATCTCCGGACGCTATGCACCGTTGATAGTATTCTAGACTGTGCCTTTGTAAGTAAGACGGAATGTGTTATCGTCTGCTATCCTTATATTACAGGGAGTTATTGTCTTCCGTTGTTCAATGTTAGCACTGGGGATTTCTTAACTGTACTTGATATAGATTTTGAACCGTCCCGGTGTCTGGCTTCCTGTCCACAAAAGGGTTTGATCGCTATTGGCCTTCGGAACTCCAAATGTATGTGCGCAGTTATCCAAGTAAAACTGCCGCGAGACAAAGTAAACCGGGAAGCAAAAGGTGGGTATGCGTTTTTTCCTTATCGTTAGTCGAAGAATTGCTCAGTTTACATAGCGTCGACGATAACACCAACATTAAATTGGAAATATTAGTTGCCAAAAAGGAGCTTGTGTGAAGGATAGTGCAGTTTGTGGATATTAGTGGGATCGAACCTCTATTAAGCAGCCACTCTTTTTAGCTGCCTGTTACAAGATTCCCTGCGAACAAAGCTGTCAGTAAATCACTGTAAAAAGTACCTCTATTAAGCAGCCACTCTATTTAGCGGCCTGTTATAAGATTCCCTGCGGACAAAGCTGTCAGTAAATCACTCTGAAAGTACCTTTTATTAAGCGTCCACTTGTCCCTTCCGCTGGCCGCTTAACCCTTCAAGTCCCATGGGTGACCAACCTCAAGTTTTTCCTAACAATATCAATACATCCTCATACGAAAACGTTATGAGAAGTGATGAAATAATCACCTTATGAGAGAAAATGCTTTGAGCTTAAAACAAATTCTCTCAACTAATTTTTTAAAGAAATTTAAACTCAATTTTCCCTTAACAATATCAATACATCGTAAGAAAACGTCATGAGAAGTGCGCGAGATATCTCAACTCCAGAAAACATTGTAAATCTGTATTCTCAATTTTCAAATATTCTTGCAGATTACATAGATCTTGTTTAATTAAAAGGGATGTAATAATGGTTCTTACTTTGTTATTTGGGACCATGAATGAATACAAATTCAGTTTTATTTTGGGATTTCAGATCCTTACATAAACGGATATTTTCTAATTGCATGCGTAAATTAAGTATTATCGATTGCTTTTAGTTTTTGCATTCAATTTTCCCCATCCATAGTATCCAGGAAGATTTCACTGAAGCAATCAGAAATAAGTGGCCTTTATAGTTTTGATAATTACTAATTTTATACATAAAACTGAGTTACTTATTCATCGCATTTTAATGATTTGCAGTTTCTGAAAGCTCAGCACTCGGAGACAAAGGTTGTGCCACAGTGTGTCGACCTGGCAACGAATTGTGAGTGCAAGGTTCTCTATTCTCTCCCATTCCAACTGTGATTGATTGACCATTTTACTTATTTCTTTGAGACTGCGGAGCCCAGGCTTCATAGGCCTTCTCGTTTCTTCTAGGCTCCCTTGCCAAGTAACAATTCTTATATGTATTTTTGCATTGTAATTTACTTTGGCTAAATAAAACTGAACTGAACTGAAATTGTAAGACGTTTTCATTGCAAAAATTGCTGCTGAGGAACCGTTATGTGCTCACCAATGAGAAGGAATCAGCGTGTATAACCAGAACATTATTTTAATAGCAAACGAGTAGGCAATCATCGCGAACCTTCGTGGCAAATTAGCATGGGTTAACTAATTTCGGTTTCTCAACCGTGCTTCTTTTCGAGCTAAGAATGAACTTTAAGTAGCGTAAAAATCCCGTATTATTATTCTGCATATATGCATATGAGTTAAAACGCTGCTTTTGACCACACCCTTGGAGGATGTAATGATACCATCCGAAACCTTTACGTTTCTTTCGCACCAATATTTAACATGATTAAAAGCTATTTAGTTTATCGCCGTGGCATATTTTTCCACCTAAAGGCTGCGTATTGGTGTTTATCGCCTTAAGTTCGCAGAATTTAAAGCACAAGTTTAAATTGAGATATGAAGTTACTTAAAAATATTTCGTTTTGTTAAACCTACTATAATTAAATATGTTTTGTTGGAGTGAATAGGGCACAAAGCACATTCCATTTGCTGTATTTAGTAAATTTACCCCTAGTACTTCGGAACATATTTATCGGAAAGACTGTCGTGGCAGCTGACTCAGTTAAACTGAACCGAACAGAACTGTTACTGCTAACAATTTCTCACAATTATTGATATTCTTTTGTACTTTTAGAATGTATCTTTTAATTACGAATTTTTATATTTTTAACTTCTGTCTATGCTGTTGAACACCGTTTTATTTTTTATAGTTTTTTTAGTGGTGGACCTTTCAGTGCTTGTGTCTTGTAAGTAAAACTTAATAAGTTTATTTCTATTTTTATTTTATTGATGGTTGTGGTTGTGTTTTTCGTCTTACTGTACTGCGAAATAGTTGTTGATGTTTATCCTTAATTATTAATCCTGCAGTTTGAAGCCTGAAGATTGATGATGGATGTACATGAAGTATCCAGAAATGTTACGTGAGCAGCCAGTCTCTTATTGACACATTGACAAGAGGCGGATTGAACAACACGCTGTAAAAAAAGCCCTTAAAAATAGAAAAGCTTCGAAAAGTATGCCATCAACAGTACGTTTAAACCTTTTAATTAAATATTCATCTTTTAGCAATGTTTTAGCATCTTTTAAGGATTTACAGTAATTGTTAGCAAGTAAATGAGAAAACCTCTAGAATTGATGCAGAGTATCGTAAGCAATAGCACAAGGCTTACATTTGAAGAGGTTCTATTATCATTGGGTGATTTAAAATTAGTAAATTAAACCCATAGAAAGCATGTACAGTATCATAATCACAACAGATTAAGGAATATTTTTAAGAATTTCCTTTTGGTGTCATTAAATGACTATGTTAGCAAGTAAAACAGTGTATACGTGGTGTAAATGATCTATGTAGGTTCGTTTTGTAAGTTTGTGATCAGTTTATTGTAAAGTTTATGGTCAAATAGATTTTTGTTAACATCATTTTGACTAAAGTAACAGCTTCTCGTTTTTACATGAAGAAGCTTCTTTTTAGATTTGACATTTTTTTAGTTGCTAGTAAAACGGAGAACCTGAAGTTAATGTTCTAATCCGAGTTTCGAAAGCAAGGTTCAAGGTATATTTTAGAAGAGGAGGATTCTAGGACTTAGTATTAGCAACTCAAGTATATAAGACACAACAGCAATATAACATATGTTCAGTATATAATCAGTGTTATATTTGATTTAGCGCAAAAATGATAAGAACTGATTTAGTATCATTATCGATAGCGTACCGTTTGTATTTGAAGATTTCTCTGTTAGTTCAAGGCTTAGTATTAGCAGGTACGAAAGAAAAATAGAACTTAATGTTCAGTTTCATAAGAAATAGCCTTAGTTTTATATTTAAAGGACCGTTGACTAAACCGGGATCGGACTGGATGAGTTAAACCCTTGTTACCTTATTTCTAACCGTACATGTATGTCTTTTATTGAGTTATAAGAAATAGCTTTAGATTCGTATTTGAAGAGTTAAGATTTGGTACAGAAATCGTAAGAACTGATTCAGCATCGTTAGCAATGGCTTACGGTTTATATTTGAGTATTTCTCTGTTTGTATAAACATAGAATACAGAGGACCAACAGAACTAATGTTCAGTTTCATTGGCAATAGCTTTAGGTTTAAATTTAAACGACCGTTGACAAAATCTGGATTGGACCGGTCTCAGGATCAACCTTTGTGACTCTATCCCTTTGTTATTTAGTGAGTTACAGCGGTTTATCTAATTCCGGCGGTCCGATCCGTGTGTTGCTGACGCCTTACTTAATTTTTTTATTATTAGATAGCTTCTAGAACTAGCAAGTCAAACAGGAAACCTAAAGAAATGATTTTCAGTATCATCATAACCTGTAGCTTAAGGTTGATAACTGAAGACTAGAGCGTTTTGTCGTTATTATATTAAATGACTTAGTTTAGCGAGTTAAAAGAAACACCTAAAAACTTACTTTTAGTATCATAAGCAATAGCTTAAGTTTCATATTTCAAGAGTTCTTTATTCTTATTGGTGTCATTAAATGGCTTAGATCAAATTAGCACTCTTATTGTATCATAATGTCCCGTAACTTAAGGTTGTTAATTGCAGATTTTTTTGGTCGATAATGATTAGTTTAGCAAATGAAAAGGAGAACCTAAGAACTTACATTCAGTATCGTAAGTGATAGCTTAAGTTTTGTATTTGAAGAGTTCTTTACTTTTATTGGTGTCATAAAATGGCTTAAAATAAGCACTCCAAGTGTATTAACATGACCTGTCGCTTAAGGTTGGTAATTGCAGTTTATTGTGTCGGTATTATATGACTTAATTTAGTCAGTGAATAGAAACGCCTTAAAACTTACTTGTAGTATCATGAAGAATAGCTTAAGTTTTACATTTGAAAAGTTTTTTTTGTTGGTGTCACTAAATGTCTTAGAACTAGCACTCAAGTAAAACAGAACCTTAAGAAGTGATGTTCAGTATCAGGCGTCATGATTGACCATGAGCTGAAAGATGATAGTTGTAGAGCTTTTCGTCGGTATCAAAGTAAATGACTTAGTTTAGCGAGTGAAAAGGAAAACCTAAGAACGTACTTTTAGTATCATAAGCAAAAGTTCTATATCTTTATTGGGGTCATTAAATGGCTTAGATCGAATTAGCACTCCAAGTGTATCATCTTGACCTGTATAGCTAAGGTTGATAATTGTAGAGTTTTTTGTCGGTATTTTATGACTGTAGTTTAGCAAGGGAAAAGGAAAACCCAAGAGCTTACATTCAGTATTGTGAGCAATAGCTTAAGTCATATATTTTTTTATTGCAGTCATTAAATGGCTTAGAACTAGCACTTAAGTACAACAGAACCTTAAGAAGTGATGTTCAGTATCCAGCATCATGACCAGTCACTGAAGGATGATAGTTGTAGAGTTTTCGTCAGTATTGTTAAAAAAAAAATAGTCAGCAAGTGAACGGGAAAACCTTATAACATGGGCGTGGCTGCCTTTAATCCGCTAAGCCCGGGTTAACAAAAATTTGGGTTAAAATGACCTTATATAAGGGAAGGCACGTTTTTAATTGGGGAGGGGGGGGGGGGGGGGGGCGGTGTCTCCCCGCTGTTCGAGAACCTTTCTTTTCCCTTTTCTTCCCTCCTTACCTCCTCTCTTGCTCTGGTTTGTTACATCAATTTTTTCAAACAAGAAGCGAAATAAAATGATGGGGTTGCTGTCTTTCTTAGTACGCAGCTGGGGCAAAAAATAAGTGTGTGGGTAAATTTGATGAGGAAGGGGGGGGGGGTGTGTGGAGGGGGGGGGGGGGGGGGGGGGGGCTGAGTCGTAACCCTGACTCTGACAAGCCTTCTGATTCCCATTATCTACCGCTATCAGCAACTTCTATCGATGGTCGTGAACCTGATGATTTTCAGCCAGAGCTCAAATGAAAAGAATGTTCCACCAAAACAAATTAAATCCAGGAGACGACGAGACAAAAGCTGAATTTTCTCGGAACTGTATTGTCCCGCTGAAGTTTGTGAAGGACTATGTTGATCACCTTGCTCAAATTGAAATGCGTAAGGAAAAGATGAAAGTGAAAGGCAACCAACGCAGCGGCTGGAACAAGATTACAACGACATTGAATGAGAACAATTGTAAAATTCTGACCAAATATCGTCGTTGGAAGTTCATGAACTTAATTTGTACTTGGTACGTCATGGAATCGTGTTTAAGGGGAAAAACGCAGAGAAAGTTGCATATATAAAGTACATATCGCTAGCAGGATCTTATCAGGCGTGGAGAAAGGGACTCCACTGCGTGAAGAAACTTCAACTTTGGGCTCAGAAAGTGATGAAGAGGAAAGGATTGTAGGCTCTGAAACATTGTCAACATCATCAAGAGAATTGAGCGCTATAAATGACAGCCTTGTACTGCATACAGTGGACACATCAATGCCAAGGTACGGCCGAAAGAGAACACGGGTCGTCCGGCGTCTGAGACAGTTACGTGCCATGGCAGAACAAGGAGAAAAAAGAAAGACAGAATGAATGAATAAATCTGATGAATGGATTGCAACAGAACTGCTGTTTAACAGGAATCTTGAGTAATTACAAGTTCCCGTTCAATAGAAAGGATTGGTACGAAGCTTTAAAATACGAAAGAACGACATCAATGTGGTAACTGAACACATTTTCACAAACCACTGCGAAAAAAAGCCTTGTCTCTCCCTTAACACCTTTTATAATAAGGGTTGACCCTCCCCAAGGGTCCCATTTTTTGTTTTTTGATTACCCTCCCCCTCTGAATCCCCACCCCTTCCCCCA